GGACCTGTCTCAGTTCTGGACTGAGACGACTGGGTTCTGGACTGAGTGTCTGGGTTCTGGACTGAGACAACTGAGTCATGGACTGAGTGACTGGGTTCCGAACTGAGACAGGTCCCAAACTCAGACACAACAAAATACATGAGGATTAAATTAAAAGAAACAATTCTGTCCGCATCGGGTGAAATCTGTTTCTTTTCTGGTGTAACTGACCCGATATATCGAAATCTGTTTCGTTATTTGGTCCTACAAAGCGCTGCGGCTTGGAATGTTGGTGTAACTCGTCGGAAATCACGGAGGGATACGTTAAATCTTGACAGTGCATTGAGCCGCTTTTGTAATTCATAATTAATTTACCTGTTATTATATACAGGCAAGGAATCAATTACTTCATCATTGTTTCTACAGCCATTAATATTAAGTCTAATAAGTTTAATCTTTCAACAAATATTACGCTTTTCCAGCTTATAATTCTTAGGGCTTAAATAAAAAAAATGTTAAAAGAATTATATACTTAATATTATAATATACCCTCATAGAAAGAATACGTGGGGGGGGGGGGCTGAAAAGTCTTGTCATCAATTCTTTTTGATAATTCTAAATGCAATTGTTCGAAAAACTATTTGATTCCCTCAAAGTAGTTTCCGTTAACATCTCTGCAATGTTGCAACTGTCAAGCCAACTCCGCTGGTACAAACAATTCCGGTCTGCGGCACATTGAATTTCGGATTATCAGGAATTTACCTGCCAGGTCGCACAACCTGACACGTCGTACAGCCCATAATATTTCTATTTATGGAGAAGAGGGGATAATATTTGAGCCTGCACGACCTGGCAGGTAAATTCCCGATTATGAATTTCGGTTGTACGATGATCAGCGTAGTTGCATCGAAATAGACATTTAGAGATTAGTGTAACTTAGCGGTGTCAAATGTGACGATGCAGTATCAAAATTGTGTTACTTAGACGCATCAATTTACATCGCTCCCCATATATTCGAACATCAGATGACACGTCTTCCAATGTCATAGCGGCCTTTTGAATCTCTTTAGACGTCTCTGTATTTTCGGTTAAGCTATTCTCAAAGAATGGGTTTCGTGTACACAATCAAAATCCAGTGTCAAAATAGTGAAAATGATAGAAGATATATAAGCAGTTGTAGTTTTTCCGCTCTGAACAGCATCTTCAGATTTCTATCAAGTTCTTATAATTGTCCTTTTAGAATAGTTCTTTATATTCTAATAAACAAAACATTGAAATATAATTTATTGGCTAGCTTCCTGATTTTATTCCCCTTCGATTAAGAGATAGAATCGCTTTCTCGATCAGCGGTTAATAAGTTTGATCTTACTTATCGGAACTTAGGCATCAGGATTTCTATTTAATTGCATGTTTAACGCGCGTTACTATTTATAAACTTTCCCGTTGATAGATTTTCGTAAAAATCCCTAGCGAATCATAATTGTTGTTTATTTAAGTCACTAACTGGATAGATGTTTAGCGATAGTAGGAACGAGCCCAAGGCCGTTACACGAACGCTCTTCCACGTGTGGCGATCCGACAATTGGTGGGGATTCCGTGGAATAGCGGATTAAAAGAACACGAACCACAGAAAATCAGTAATCCTGGCAAGAGCAACAAGAACTCGAGAATTACAGCAACAGCTAGATGCACATCGACACATTCCCAAAACACATCAATTCAGAAACAACGCGGTAGAAGAGACGCGTGTATAAATTGCTACCCGATTATTCAAGAAACAAGTCCCGCTTTTGAAAGATATCGCCAAACAATACAGAGGTTTGTCGGACGCGTATCTCAAATCACCCCGATAGATTCGTAGATTGGCAAATAAGTACAAGAAAATTTGGAAATTGAACAAAACGATCAATTAGGAGAACCTAAACAACAAGGTAATCCCATTTACGAGCAAGACCCACCAGACGATCAAGTAGATAATCAGAATATTGATCAGGAAAATCCAGCAGTGAATCAAGACCCATTAGACATAGCCTCAGTAGCATCCTTGTATCAAGATTTACGATAAACATGACGTATTCCTCCGTGTTGAGTTACACCAACATTCCAACCGCAGTATTCTGCAGTGTTTCCGTTTCACAGCCGCAGGAGATCAATTAACGAAACAGATTTGGATATAAGCGGAAGGAAACAGTACGACGAGAACATTTCTCGATATATGCGGAAGGTGACAGTACGACAGAAATAAGAAAGTGTATCGTTTTACATGTATTTATTTAGTTTTAAAAGTATAGAAGCGCAGAAGGCGCAGAACTAGAAAACAGATATATAAGCAGTCGTAAATTCCTTAGCAAACGGTGTCTTCGGTTGAATAGATTCGATCTTGAATCTAATATTTGTAATAATTACATTTTATATAGTTAATCAAATAAACATATTATATTTATAAATAGTATTCTCTGATCTATATTGTGGTATCGCTGATAAAGTGTTAAACCGCTTTCTTGATCAGCGATAGAATAGTATCGACCTTGCCCTGATACTATCGTCCCTTGACAATAAAGATTTCAGATAGCGCAATTAGTAGAGTACCCACCGAGAGAAATAGACGTATTTACTCGAGGTTAATTAGAAATCCAGAGAAGGCGTACGCAAGATCGAACCCAGAATCGTGAGCGTTTAAACCCAGCATAAAGGTCACCAATTGTCACAGCAGATTTAACTGAAGTAGAGATAGTCAAGGATCTCGTTGGAAAAAGGCTAAATCTCAAGGTCAATATTCGTTCTGCTCTCCCCCGAGTATTGGCTCAACACTTGGAAACATCCTCACAAGCATCATCAAGACCCCCAAGTCCTAGATTACAACCACAAGCAGACAAAGAAGAAATGGCAACAGTAACTTACCCAGTGTTTAGTGGCACTAACCCCAAGTCATGGCTAGCTCAATTGGAAAGAGCCATGAAAGCCAATGGAGTGGCAGACAACAACAATGACAAACGCCTAGGAATTGCTGCATGCCATATGGGACCATATCAAGAATGGATAGAATTGCAGCAAATCACCAAATGGGATAATGACAGTATAGGCCATTAGGGTTCAAACAGAGATTTATTGCTGAATTTTCTAATGAAGATACTAAAAGAGAAGCCTTGGAAATTGCAAGCAAGAGAATGCAAAAACCTGGGGAACCAGTCGAAGTGTACAAAGCTGCATTAGAAATAATCTGGCAAGAATGCGATCCAGCAGAAATGACAGACAGAATGAAGCTTAAGCTATTCCTGAATGGACTTAGCCCCATGATTAGAATGTCAGTCAAACAGCAAGCACCAGTGGACATTAATGCAGCAGTAAGGTTAGCAAAGGTTCACTCCAGGGCAGTAAGAGATGAAATGAAACCAGAGGTATCCTCAACAGCCAAAATTAATGAAGCAATGGCAGGAGAGATCCAAGAATTGAAACAAAAGCTAGAACACCTAGAGAAAAGACCAAACCCACCTCCAGTACCAGAACACACCCATCAATCAATTTCAAACATCATTTGCTATTATTGCCATCAGAGAGGCCACAGACAAGCAGACTGTAAAATGAGAGCAATGCACAGACAACAAGGCAAGCAACTTACCTGGAACAGGCCGCGATAATCCAAGACAGGGAAATAAGCAGCCCCGCCAATAGAGGGCACTGGTGGTGGCATTGACTCGTAGTCTGTAGCTAAAAATCTTCTGCAGATCATATCTTCAGCAAGACATTGCTATTAGGATAGTTCTTTTATTTTAATAAAAATCCTATTTAATTATAAATATTGTTATTTTCGTTTATTCCTGATAAAAGATACTTGCATCATTTGGCAAAGTGTAAAATGCTTTCTCTGTCAGCAGTGAATAGAATTAATCCTTGCCAATTAATTCCATTTAGTACTTTTGCATTCAGGATTATTTTTTAATTATTACTGACTAATCCCATCAAAGAAATCGAAGTGATTACTCAATAATCTAGGGACAGCATATTAGACACAAGACTGATAATATACAAATCATAAGTATAAACCTAGTTAAAGGTCACTAATTGTTATTAGCATTTAGTTTGAAGTAGGAAGAGCAAAAGCTTTTGTCAGAAAAGAGCTAAATCCCAAAACGGCTAGTACACCACTGTGTAAGCTAGTCTGACAGAGCTATATTAAAAGCTAAATCAACTATGCTGCTTTCTGACAAAGAGTTACTTTCACAAGCATTCAGTTCTTGTTTAGAAAATAAAACCAGAGAACTGGAAAAAGAACTATTGACTACTAAAGAAGAATTGAATATTGAAAGGGAAGAAGTGGCCAAATTTTATGAAAAGTCTAAAGAATGAGGCAAAGAGAAAATAAAGTGGTTAAAGAACTGGAAATGCACGTCATGTGATTAGATATTTTATAATAAAATTTTTCGTGTTTCAATCTGATATTGCCCAAACTAGTAATGCTGACCTTGCCAAGTGGATAAAGCAATCATATCGATTTCCCGAAACAATCAACAAGAGTCTTGTTCTTGCGTGGCCCACTAGAGTTTATTAGCTGCATTATGTGTTGATATAACCACAATATTAACATCGTCCATTACCTTATTATAATTTAATGACTGTAACTCAAACTCTTTTCTAATAAACTTGTAATTTACGGTATTTACAGTTTATTTATGGCCTATGTGAGTTTATTCAACGGTTTAGCGACAATAAATACGATATGTTTGTGCTTATTATACTACTTGTTTGTAGTTAGGCAATAAAGTTCTACATTAAACTATATATTGTATTGTGTTTCTTTTCAGCGACTTCAAGTAAGAGTCAATAAAGACGGGACCGGGTTTGAAAGATGAAACACTGTCAGAAGAAAAAAGACGGCAGTTTGTGCAGTATATTAAAACTTTATTTTCATCACCATGGTCTTTTTATTACCAATTATGAGCTGTGCGGCTTATTTTCAACTGGTTTAACCGGAATAAATGTCGTTCGATAATGCGTCACTCAATTCATTTATTGTATAGGTCGAGGAGCCAGCGTTCTTGACTTTGCTTAAGGTGTTGATTAGTGTTGATGCCTTGTAACACGCTTTCTATTTACCCAGAAACGACGTGATTTCTGCTAAATCCTATAACTGGTATCATGACGAGTTTACGTGGGGCATTCAAAAAGTTTTTGCAAAATAGCCTATTTCAACAAACTACATAATAATAATAACTTTGAATGTTATTAAGATAACCCTTTAAAATAGTATCTATACAACGTTGCCAATATTCAAAAGATTTATGATAATCTTCTTGTGGATACTACTAGTAATTGCCCAGAAAGGAGCGGCAAGCAATAAAATTTAGAATATCTCAACAACTACAGATTCAAAGATTGTTCCATTTTATTTATATTAGTTTGGAAAATTTGTCAAACCCATAATTGGCAAGTACTTTGCAAAAAACTTTTTGAACGCCTCACGTAATACATCATCGATGTACAATGTAATACACATTTAGATTTTAGAGCAGTTATTCCAAAGTAGGAAGATATTCGGGGAGGTTCTACACTCTTTCCTGTATGAGATTTGGTCTAAGACTCAACGGAATAATGGACTAATTCTTGCGATAAAATAATATATAGTAATAGGCGCATCTGCCACTGACATACGTTAATAAGTTGTTAGTGGTGAAAGGAGATAAAGTACTGTCTTTGAGTACCATTTATTGCTTGATTGAAGCATTCGAGCACGGACAGCGAGGCATTAAAGATGAAGCATGCTCTAAACAGGCCTCGCAAAGCTGTCACAAAAATGACAATTATAAAGAGCTAGCGGCCTATTGATATCATTGACTTTAACTGAATAACAAAACGAATATCAAGGAAGAAAGTCATTTTGTAGATTTTACAATAAAACTGTAAACCCATTTATACGGGACTTAGGGATACAATTATACTGTATATTGTAAAATTTGAAGTCCCCGTCTGACGCATAAACTTACATGACCAATCAGATTCGCTTAATTGCTAAATCTGATTGGTGAATTTTCAACCCTAAAATTCCTAACAAATTTGTTTGTCGTAGATTTTGAAGCTCTATAATCGCACTTCATTAGATATAACATCAAAGTTACACATATAATAATATAACAAAGGACTTTATTACCCTCGCAGAAAAGTCTTTTTAATATAATAATACGTTCTGATTGGTCAAATAAATAACACGTGTTTTTCAATTAAAACCTTTATAAACTTATAGCCTGTATATGCTGAAATTGTATAGGGACAATTCTCTACAGTCACACCCTCTTACAGTCACTGGTTTCAGGAAACTAATAGTGTTACTGTAGAGGGGGACAACCGTATATATCAAGCAAGCAAAATGGTGTAGTAAGAGTCTGATTTATTGTCCGGCTAGACAATCGCTTAAGCTTATGCTATACTACATAGACTATATTGCTTTTGTCATCACTATTGTTTAATTGCGTGGCTTATCGAATGTTACACTGATACTATTGTCCTTATTTACGGAAACAATCGTGACAATCACAATGATGTGTCACACTAGGCAATTTATCGATATCCTTTATGCTTTATTATTGGTCGACAATCGCAGACTCTCACGCTCCTTATTGCGTAGATAACCAGTTTAATTAAATTATACGCGTGACTTACCGGACTTGACTTGTTAACCAGTGAAAAATATTTTTCCGCGTGTACTTATGGAAACAATTATCTACGTTAAACAATTAAAGCTCTTCTGCTAGTTTGTAAAATGAAACAAACAGTTTCTAACCCAAACACTGAAAGAATCCTTCCTTTGCACAACTGGATCTATAATAGTAATAATTAATTAAAATCCGTCTGCTGTTTCAAAGCTATTGTAAACAGTGATAAAAGAACGCGAAAAAGAAAATAGCAATCTTCACACGCATGTAAAACTCGATCTATAACAAATAATGTGCGCGAATAGTCTGATATTGTACGTGAAACAAATTTGTGCTATTGTGTTGATAATTTTCTGCAAAAAATAACATTATGTAAATCACGTGAGTTGCACTTAGAGAAATAAATCTACTAGAGCGGGACTCGCAAATCCGTTGCATTGCAGAAAACGGGGGTTGCATTTATTCACAAGTCCCAAGCTTGAGACCGAGCAAAATGTTGCATTTAGGGACTTATGGGGGTTGCGTTTATGAAGGTGTTACTGTACTAGAGTAATGAATTCGAATGGTGATATAAAATTCATTATATAAACGACCCTTCCCCCAGGCGGAAAAGTAAGTTGGTTACTGCTGAGGGTAAAACTGATGTGGAACGACCGTATTTCTCCGACACGAGTACCCCCCCATGAGCTATACCCTGTGGCAATTTTGAAGGCCAAATTTTGATTTATACCCGGGTATTAGTTATGGTATCCTTCCGGCATATATACCCCCCTTTGATTTGTACCCTCCTTCTAACAGCCAATTAAAATTTATAAAATTTAAGATCAGATAACACAAATTTGTTCAGTAAA